GAGAGAGGGGGGAGAGAGGGGAGGAGAGGGGGACAGAGGGGGGGGGATGAAGTGGTTTAGAGGGATTACAGTTGGACAGAGACTGGACCAGGGTGTTCTCTCTCTGTCCCTCACTCTGCCCTCCCCCGTGTCTGTCTCACCCTCTTTCTCTCTCTCTGTCTGTTCAGGCTTTCACATACGTTCTCTCTCACCCCCTCTCCCTGCACCTCTCTTTTATTTTCTCTCTCTCTCTCCCCCTCCCTCTCTCTCTCTCTCTCTCCGCCACCCCTCACACCCTGTCTCTCCCTCTGTCTCTCTCTCTGTCTCTCTCCCTCTGTCTCTCTCCCTCTGTCTCCCTCTTTCCCACTCTCTCTCCCGCCCCCCCTCTCTCGCCCCTCTCTCTCTCTCTCTCTCTGCCCTCTCTCTCTCTCCACCACCCCTCCCCTCTCGTGCCTCTCTCACTCCGTACTTCTTCATTGCCTCCTGGCAGTGCTGAGCACACACACACACACACACTCTCACACACACTCTCAGTCTGCGGTCTCCATTTAAAGTTAACAGTCACTTCTCTCGGTGCCTGAACGCTCGTTTTTCCTCCCCCTCTCTCTCTTTCTCTCTCTTTCTCTCTCTTTCTCTCCCTCGTCTTTGACTCCCGTGGATCAGCTGTGACAAAAACACGGACGAACCGACGTAAAGACCGGGACCAGCGGCGGAGAGAAGGCGGAGCAGAGGCTGCAGATCAGCCCGACACCGAGGAGGACAACCGTCGGTGTTCTGTCAACACAAGTAAGAAAGTGCTGCATGTGCACTGGCGTCATGACGGAGCAGCAGCAGCAGCAGCAGCAGCAGCAGCACAGCGGTACCAGCGGCAGCGGCAGTTACAGCAGCAGCAGCAGCAGTGGTCGGGCTGTTGATTTGACAGCTCTGCTTTCTTCCTCCTCAATCCTTACAAACGTGGATTTATTTGAACTGCGGTAGATGCTTTAACCAATAATCTCTGAGCTGCTGTTGCTGCTGCTGCTGCTGCTATTTCTGCTACTGCTGCTGCTGCTGCTGCTGCTCAGCTTCCACCGCCTTCTTCTGCCTTTTACCTCACAACTCGTCTTGGAAGTACTCAGAGTACTCCGAAAATAGTTTGGTCCAGGCGCTAACTAACATATGGTACGTGTACTGCTGGTGGTACCATGCTCCCTCTAGTGGAGGGCAGCAGGTTACTGATTTACCAATAGGACTGGGTGAGTCACTTTGTTGTTAAGAAGAGATAAGTGGATACTTGAAAAAAAAACCTAAAAACAAACTGAAATAATGTGTGTCCTTGGTCAAACGGAGTTTTCACAGATCAACTCCACGAAGACGTTCATGAAACAAATACGTACGTACAATAATATGACTGTGAACCACAGGTTTGGTCCAGTTGTCCTCGCTGCAGCTCTGACGTTGTTACGTCTGTGGCTCAGTGTTTTGTTGTTTTGTTGTCAGTGGAGTTCGAACTCCACTGAGGTCGAAGTCATTTTATCATCAAAACATTGACGTAAAAAAAACAAAAACAAAAACCTCACAATCACTTCAACACTGTGAGGTTTGTGACAGGAAAATACATCAGAAATATAGATGTACATATATATTACTCTGCAGAAATCTGTGTGGCTTCACCACATACAGTCCTGGTGATTTATTTTGAAATCGTGGGTCGTTTCTCTTACTGCAGTATCTCAGAATTTATACTACGTTAATTTGGCCTCGTGATTTGGAAAGTGAGTAAATGTGTTGCATTTACCACAAGTAGAAAATAAATTTAAAAAACAAACTGGTTTCACACCACCAGACGGAGGTGAACGCAGCTCAGAGTCAGGACTAAAAACTTGTACCAGGAAATATTTTTTCTCCCAGTCCTGGAGCTTTGAATGTGGAAGCGTTTCGTCAAAGTTGACACGGAGGTTCCACATACCGAGCCGTGCCTGGACACAGGAAGTGCGAAGGAAAAAGAAGATCATTTGAAATGCAAAAATAAGACAAAGAGTAGAACCAGTGTGTACTGATGAAGGAAATACTGCAGGAGGAAATACACTGAAGTACTACTGTGTCGTACTAAAGGAGGTTTGACAGAATTAAAAATTAGAGAAAAGAGAAAATGGAGTTTAATGAAATATTTCACTTTGACGTCGACGATACTGGAGGATTGAAATATTTCAGTGTTTCAATATTTGAAATATTTAAATAATAACCCACTGCACAGTAGAATGCTTCAAATATTAAAATACTACACAGGATAAATATTTAAATATATAAATACATTGCACGAGAAAAATAAATATCTCGACGGAAACTGATTTATTGAGATATTTAAGAAAAAAAATGTTGACACAGCGTGACACGAGAAAGAAAAGATGATTTAAAAAAAATGAGAGAAGATAATGATATATTTTACGTTGAAAAACTGAGAAAATATATAATAAATATATGCCAAATATATGCTGAAATATATATTGAAATATTAACCTTGAACAGTATCACACTTGTGGAGAATATGTTTACATATATTGCGCCACACATACACTTGTTGTATTTATTATATATTTATGGTGACAGTGGGAGTACTTCAAGTACTGCTGTGGTTTGACTTCATAGTTTTACTGTGTTGCAGTACAACAGAAAGTCAGAGGCAGTGGTGGGGGGGGTGAGGTGTGTTTTGTACATTGTACTGCAGTTGTACTCTGATGTGTGTACTGAGGCTGTATAAAAAAGAGAGGTCAATTGTCCCATAGTTAATGTTTACACCGCGAGACGGAGGTATAAATATAAATATAAATATAAATATAAATATAAATATAAATATAAATATAAATATAAATATGAGGTGTTTTTCTGTGTTCTGTGGTCGACCGTGTTCTACGTCAGCTTCCTCTGCAGTACTTCATCTGTCGGGGGTGATGACGTCGGTATCTGCTCGTGGTACCTTTTACTTCTCTAAATACTACAGTGATACTACAGCGTCGTCCTTCGTTTGGACAGTTTTGTCAAAGTTACTGTCAATATTTGTTTACTAATTAGCAATTAAAATTCAAACCTCGTTCTTTACCCCGACACTTCATCTGTGTGTTAGTCCAGTTCTAGTCCAGGTCTCGTCCAGTTCTAGTCCAGTTCTAGTCCAGGTCTAGTCCAGTTCTAGTCCAGTTCCAGTTCCAGTCCCAGTCCAGTTCTAGTCCAGTTCTAGTCCAGTTCTAGTCCAGGTCTCGTACAGTTCTAGTCCAGTTCTAGTCCAGGTCTAGTCCAGTTCTAGTCCAGGTCTAGTCCAGTTCTAGTCCAGGTCTAGTCCAGTTCTAGTCCAGTTCCAGTTCCAGTCCCAGTCCAGTTCTAGTCCAGTTCTAGTCCAGTTCTAGTCCAGGTCTCGTCCAGTTCTAGTCCAGTTCTAGTCCAGGTCTAGTCCAGTTCTAGTCCAGGTCTAGTCCAGGTCTCTGGGTCTTATCTCTGGCCGTTTGTGTGCTAAAGGTACGTGTTAGCGCCGACCTCGTTCACTTGGATTGTCAAATATTAGCTCTGGATCGGAGATAACGCCATTACGAGTCGTTACATTTAACACAAATATTCATACACATTCATACACAAATATTTGACTTTTAATCGTTGATAAAAAAAACGATACAGTAATACAATAATGTGAAAGGCAATATATCGCAATATTGTATATATATGTAAATATATACATATATACATACAGTATATATGTAAATATATATACATATATACATATATAAATATATATCTATACATATATATGTATAGATATATATTTATCTATATATATATATACATATATATACATATATGTATATATGTATACAGAACCATGTCCTTGCAGCGTTGTTACCTAACACGTGTGACTAGTTCACACATGAAATACCTTCAGGTCAAACTAAGTGATTCAGGAACAGACTTTCGTAATCACTACAGTCGCTGCTGCTAGCCTTTCTTTTTTTTTGGTCAAAAACTCTTCAAATATTTTATTCAGGTCCAGAGTTCTGACTGGATCAGAACATGTTATATTCCATGATGACAGAACAGCCATTAAGATACCGGGCCAAACCAGTAGCAGACCTCCCAGACTGACGTGGTCCACGTGGGTCACATGATTTCATAACCAGCTACAGTGAAAAGGCAAAGAGGAGATAATGAGAGGAAAAGGGGGAAGTGGTTGTAGTTGTCGCTGTGGCTGTAGCTGTAGCTGTAGCTGTAGCTGTAGCTGTAGCTGTAGCTGTAGCTGTAGCTGCTCCGACAGCCACTGTACACCAGAAAACAGAGTGAGTGTCTCCTC